ATATCTAACCCGCTAACGAGGAAAATGACCTGCATTATGCACTGACGACGTAATACACGTCATTAGTGCGTTATATGACGTCACGAAACGTCATCTACATTCCATATACCGGAGATAGAGAGGGCGTGGCTGCGTACTTCATCTCAATGCGTTTCATAGTATGCGTCCTTCGCTGGACAAAAACGTGATTACAATTGTCCCAGAACAGCAGTATCTCACCAAATGCGCAACTGATGACACATTCAAACGAGGTATGCAGCCACGCCCTCCTCATCCTCGGGATGTGGGGTACAATTCCTAGCAGGCAACGAGGTACCTTGGATGTGCCAGAGCCGATAACCTAGCCGACTTGGCTAGCAACGTAACCAGCTCAAAAAAGACTAACCTCATCGAGATCGGCTTGGGCAGTGGAGAGCTCAGTTTCGAGTTTGTTCTTGATTGAGGTGAGGTTGTTGTTGATGGCGGACAGATCGGCAATACGTCCATTAGCCTCTTCAAGATCAATCTCGGCCTGTTTACGAGCACGAATAGCGTTATCGAGAGCGGTCTTTGCCTCCTCGAGTTCAGCCGAAAGGGCAGCGACCTGGAAGTAAACGAATGACTCACTCATTCAGGTTCGCCTACGCGAGCACATTCCACTAATAACTCTTAGAACTGCAATATGTAAAAAAAGTAACAGCTCAAAAGCTTCTTCATCCGCGGGGAAAAACGCCAGCAGCACAGCTGTTCACCTACATATCCGCAGTTGACGTCCGTAGGTACCGTAATCAGCCTCATGTTACACTTGGGAAAGTGTAATTCAGCGCAAGAGAGCGATGAAAAACGCTATGAAGGAATGCATCCAACAGCAGCTACCTTTCGTTGAGCCAAAGCGTATTGGTCGAGTACTTGCTGAAGTTGACGCTGAGTATCTTCGAGGGATGCCTGGAGAATCTTGAGCTGTTCGGATTGTTTCTTGATGGTCTTCTGGGCTTCGATGTTGGCACGGTTCAGGTTGTCGACGGTCATCTCGAGTTCGGCAATTTCGGCTTGGTACTTCTTCTTCAGTCGAGAGATCTCCGCCTAAACGGAATCTGAGTTAAGTTCTCTGTGCTAAATAAAGGATAAATTTATCCCTGTACCTTCATGCGGGCCTCGGCATCAGCCAAAGCGGCGGTCAAGCGGTCGATCTCGAACTGCATGTTCTTGCGAAGAGCTTCCATTTCTTCCTCCTGGAATATTCACCCTCATAGGTGCCGTTTTCCCATATAGGGGCTAACTTACCTTCTCTTGAAGTCTGCGTTCCATTTCGATGCGCAGGGCCTGGAGTTCGGCAAGGGCACGCTGAGCACGGTTCTCGGCATCGCGGCGTTGAGCATCGGCTTCCTAAAAGGGATGGGAGAATGAAAGGGACTGTTTCACTGTTACTAGCAAGAGATTCCGCGATATCCGGAAAGGCGGAGAAAGAGAGCCGTTTTGCTATCCCCATTAGTGCTGCTCCATCTAAGACGTTACTGCACCAATAAGGTGACTCTCCGTTCCCGCCCACGCGATTAGCCGGAATATCTCTTTAAGTACTTCGAGAGCTCGATAGTCCTGATCAGAGGTTCGAGCTCCCGATCCTCTGCTGTGTCTCCAAAAAGGTACTAACCTTGAGGGCGGTTTGAAGTTCGCGAATTTCGCCAGCGAGACGGGCATTTTCCAGATCCAGCTCGTGCAGTTTGCGGTTGGCATCGGCAAGAGCCTCCTTAGCCTCGTGGAGCTCGTCTGTAAACGATCAAAATCAGATTTTTCACAGGAAAATTGACTAGCCATTAAAGCAGCGTTCCACGCTGACGGTATAGGCGGAGACAGAATCGCCTCAATAATATGCCCTTTCACTTTGCTGCTTCGGAACGAGGGGCGCATTAACTAAGGAAACTCATCTGTCTGTCTCCGCCCATCTCGCACTCGCGGATGAGCCTCAAAAACTAAGAAAGGATAGCAGACCGTGGAGCTTCTTGTTCTCTCTGGCGAGAGCTTCCTTCTGTTCGACGGCCTTTTCGTAGAGATGTTTCATCTTTTGCAGTTCGGCGTTGGCTGCGCGAAGTTCGCGTTGTACAGCCTCCAGCTCCACGGTCAATTCGTCGATGCGAACCTAAAAAGGCATTGGTTATACAGTCACTGCAGTACCCCCGATACGGTAGGGATACGGTAAGATAGATAAGATAGCATACCTTCAGTTCGGCACATTGCTTCTCAAGTTGTTCCTTGGCTCTTTCGAGGATGGCAATAGTGTTCTGAGCCTTTTCAAGGTCAACGATGAGCACTTCAACCTCAGACTGCAGACGACTCTTGGCCTTCTCAAGCTGACTGATCTTCTGGAGCATGATCTCGATCTGCTCCTCATACTCGGCCTGTTTCTGCAGCATCTTCTTGCGCAGGTCTTCGACTTCCTCGTGGTGGAGAGCAACCTGAATAGAAATAGCTTGCCCTGAAAACACGTCCGGAGGGGCCTACCAAGCCAGTCATACCTCAGCATCGAATTTGCTCTTCCACTGAGTAATTTCTGTGTTTGCCAAGTTCAGTTTATGTTCAGCATCAGAACGAGCCACAGACTCTTCATCAAGAGCTTGACGGACTGAGTCGAGCTCAAGCTGCACTTGATGCAACTGAGACTGGAGCTGTGAGCGTTCCTGAAATGATGGCAAGGATTACTGGAGCTGTAAAGTGCCGCCAAACTAAATCCTTGCGGTACGGCCCGTTCATCAATGACTCGGCCGCTATTGAAGCTTCTGGAAACCCAGCAATCTGCGGCTTCTGCTTGGAAGCTACTCATTCTTTCTACTGTTCCTATTTCATCCGGAATTTTTTGGAATCTCCCTTGAGCTACTGAGCCTTGAGCCTTCTGCGGTCGGAAAATCATGACGGAAGAATCGGTCGGTTTTTTTTGACTAAATTATTTTTTCAGCACTTGGCCCGTTTATGGTTCAATTTTGAGGCCTTTTGGGGTCCCACTAGGAAATGTGGGGAAGAATCTTCCAGGACGTACCCATAAGTGGCCTCGGAACACTATGGCGAAGCAGAATAGCTAGCGGACCAACGGGTGAACGGCTTGTCATTTCATTCCTGGGGGCGGTATAGACCCTTGAAAGACACCTTCGAAACCTATTCTCCCTGGATATCCACCCTTTTATTCCTCCAAACTTTCTTGTCCTGGGCAGCCTGACTAAATGTCCATAAATAGACCTTCTATACCTAATCCGACCAAATTCATCATTTGTCCCAGTTCTCGCTATCGTCCATGGTCATCCATCAAAGTGGTCGTGCCCCTAATGCTTTTCTTCGTCTTCCGAATACCCTTTCTACCCATTTATTTACACAGGGTTTTCCATCAGGGCCAAAAATAGCGCGCAAATCACGTCATCAATTAAGGTGCGCTACGTCAACACGCGCTATTAGCTCACATAGGCTAATCAGGATTTCTTTGATAAAATGCTAAGGAGAAGGCTTTTGGCGTCATTGATGATTGCATTTGCGATAATTTGCGTCGTATTTATCCCGGGTTTAAATGTGACGCATCATTTTGAAAGTGAAAAACAAAAACATCCTGTGTTGCGGTGAACTAAACATCCACCAATTACCTGAGTCATTTGGGGCGAGGAGGAACTCCCCCTGGATGCTGGTCCTGGGGCAAACAGCCAAATTTGCTAAACAGACTTGCTAACCCAAGAAAAACCCCATGGAGG